GAAGGGTATATGATCTGCTTTTAGGTGAAAAGTGCAGAAATCCCAAACAGAGAGAGACAGAGGCAGGTGCAGATGGAACTTATCACCGTGAGAGCTTGCTGAAGGAGATGCCTGACCAGCGCTCTGAGTCATGGTTCTAGGGTGGGAACAAGGAATGTGCCTGTCTGGCACCCTCCTTACTCATGTCTGTGCCAGAAATGCCTCTGGAGCTACACTGAAGCATATGGATAGGAGCAAGATTGGTTATTCACCAGGTGTTCAAAACTAAAATTTGCCCTTGGTCTTATTCTGTTTTAGGGGAGTCCTACCCAGTTTTGATGACTGAGGGTGTTGTTTTTCCTCTGTCAGTCATTTTTTGACAGCCCCTACACTCAAGCTAGAATGAGATATTTTCTTCTTTGTGCCCTACCCTTACCCTATAGTGTACTTCTGTCAAAGCACCTTCAACATCTTTTACATAATTGTTTATATTTCTACTGTAAGGGTCTTAAGGGCAGAAACTCTTTATTCTTTTTTGTATCTGAATCACTTCGAATTATTATGCATGGCAGGTAATAGTAGTCATTAAACAGTTTACATAATAGGCATGGGTGCATGCATTGAATTTAGGAACAGAAAGTTATTTCTTTATATTGTCTGCCCAGGAACAGTTTCCCAGACTTTGTATTTCTCATTTAGAAGACAGTAACTTGCCTATATACTATGTTCAGGGCAATCATTTGATGTTAATTTCCTATTCTTTGTGTCAACGTGTAGTCATATTTAAATAACTGGATTGAATTACATGTTTTGAAAATATGGATAGCAAACTTGTTCAGTAATACATTGGAAATCAGAAAAGGTTAATCAATGGTTTTTCAAACTAATTCTTAATCATATGTAAAACTTCTGGCCTTATGAAAAGACACAGCCTTAGCTATGCATTTTTAAAGATGTTTTTAAATGGAAAAGAAGTAGAACCAGGAGAGAAAATCACGCATGTTTTAAAAATATGAGTAAAAAAAGTTGCTCCAGGTATTGATATTGATGTGGTTCTATACTAAGATGTTTTTATTCATTTTAAATCATAAGCAAACAGTTTAAATGTGCAAATGGAAACAGCTTAGCTTTTTGTTATTGATTCATTAACCAAATGTGCTTATTTCTTGAATATGTGATGTGTGACTGACAATTGTGTACTCTAAACCTATCATGATAACTTTGAACATACGTGTGTATATTTTGGCTTAGTAGGTGACATCATTCTATAAATTAGTTTATACCTAAAAGGGGAGACAAATTAATTTTTTGAAGTTTCATTTGTGCATCCAATTTTAGAGACTTGAAAACATTTTCTTCCCCAAACAAAGGCAGGCATAGCATTTTAAAGATATACTTACTCTATTTTCTCCATATGTGTATTGATTTGATTTCTTTTGTTTGACTTAAACGTCCTAGACTCTGAATTCTACATTCAGAAGGATCCTTAGAACTCATCTAATATGACAGACCAAGCTATTTAATGGCTTAGTCAGATCTAGAATCTGAACTCTAGACTCTAATAAGAGTTTTTATTTGTTTGTTTTTTCTACTGGTGCTTATGTGTGTGTATTTGTTTCTTAGGTGACTACACTTCAAGATGAAAAGAATTCTCTGGTTTCTGAAAATGAGATGATGAATGAAAAACTTGACCAGTTGGATGGCTCTTTTGATGATCCAAACACAGTGGTTGCAAAAAAGTATTTTCATGCACAGTTACAACTAGAACAATTACAGGAAGAAAACTTCAGGTAGCATTTTTAATGGAAATCATTTTATGGAGTTCTGTCTATTATATTAGTAGCAAAAAGTCACAGTATTAACAACTAATTACTAAGCTTTGTTAAGCATCTTTAGGATACTGATTAAGCTCCTGAAAATACCAAATGGTATAAGTGGTTCCTGCTCTCACAGGGCTAAGATTCAGTTAGGAAGTGGGAGATACACATAAAAACAAAACTATTTAAATACGTGTTCAGGACCAAATCAAGGCCACAGGAAAGCCAATAGGAGTTCAAGGGAGTGATTGCTGAAACCTAGGGAGAATTGGAAGTTTCCCAAATAGGATAGGTAACCCTGTAATAAATGGAAAAAATGTAAATCATAAGCCAAGTAGATGCTTTTCATTTTAACTTGTATATTCTTTAACAAAGTCATGTATTCTTACCTTTAATAAAGATTGATTATCTTTTGTGTGTTTACCACTGAGCCTTGAACTAGAAGACCTTGAGGACAGGCACTTTAATTGTACTATACATTTTTTGTTACTTAATTTGGATATAACTTCAAACTCACAAAACAAGTTATAAGAATACTACAAGGAACTTCTTTACACCTTTTACTCAGGTTCAACATTTATTTTCCAGTTTTCTCCATTTGCTTTAGCAGTCTCTGTATATAGTCATATAATTTGCATATTTTTATCTGGACCGTTTGAGAGAAAGTTGGACACATGTCTCTTTACCCCTTTATATTTCAGTGCATACTTCCTAAGAATGAGAACATTCTCTTATAAGCCACGTTATTTTCACATTATTGTGAAAAATGATATAACCATTAAAATTGGGATCTTTTTCTGGACTCTCATTTCATTTCTGTTAGTAAATTTATGCCTATATGACACTATATTAATTACTGTGGTTTACAGTATGACTTTTGAGATCTGGTAGTGTAAGTATTCCAATTTTGTTCTTTCTTTTCAAAATTTGTTTTGGCTATTCTGAGTCTTTAGCATTTTCCCATAAAATTGAGAATCAGCTAGTCAGTTTCTATTAAAAACCTTTTCAGGATTATGATTTGGGTTGTATAATTGGTATCTTATAGAAAATTCCTATCTATGAATGTGGTCTCATTTATTTAAGTATTTATTTTCACTCGGCAGTGCTGCTTGGGTATAATTTTATACCCAAGTATTTTTTGTTTTTGATGCTATTGTAAATGCAAATTCAGAATTATTGTGAAAATTTGCTGCTAATCTGTAGATAGATGTAAAATTATATATTGAAACTTTGATCTTACATCTTGAAACTTGTATCTTAAATATATTGAAACATTTATATCTTGCAGAGTTTCTAAATTCACTTATTGAGCTGGTAATTTGTTTGGATTTTAAAAAGTCCATTCCTGCTGCTTTAACAAAATACCTTAGACAGGGTAATTTGCGAACAATGGAAATCTACCACTCACAGTTCTGAAGACTGGGAACTCCAAAATCAAGGCACCAGCAGATTCAGTGTCTGTTTGAGGGATCCAAGATGGTTTCTTCTCGCTGAATCCTTAGGTTCCTTTAACCTCTTTCATAAGAGCACTAATCATATTAATGGGAACAGAGCCCTCACAACTTAATCACTTCCCCAAAAGCCCCACCTCTTAATACCACCACAGTGGGGATTAGGTTTTAACATGAATTTTAGAAGAACACAGACTATGGAATCTATAGTCATTTAATCTATTAATAGAACTTTACATCTTCCTTTCATTATTTCTGTCTTGTATTTATTTTGCTTGCCTTATTGCAAGAGCAGCCATCATTGCTTTTTTCTGGTCTTAGAAGGATCATATGCAATTAGGATCCATCAACTATGGTGTTAACTGTAGAGTTTTTCAATGTGCTTTTTGCCAGATTGAGGAAATTCCCCTTGTTTCCACTTTGCTAAAAGGTTTTTGTTTTTTGTTTTTGTTTTTTCAATCATGATTGGGTGTTGATTTTTGTCTGATGATTTTTCTGCATGTTGAAAAGATGGTGTAGTTTTTCTTTTTCATTCTTTTAATATATTGATTGATTTTTGAATGTTAAAAACCTACATTCTGGAGATAAACCACTTTGTTCGTATTTTATTCTATATATGACTAGATTCAGTTAATAATTTAAAATAATTTTTATAACTGTCTTTATAATAGATACTGGTCTGACTTTTGTCTCTTGTAATGTCTTGTTCAGGATTTGTTATCAGACTTCTACGTCTTATAGAATAACTGAGGCATATTCTCTCTTCTTCTATTTTATGAGTTTATGTAAAAATGTTATTTCTTTCTGAAATTTTGATACAGTTTATCAGCAACACAATTTGGACCTATGGTTTTCTTTGTGAGTGGATTTTTGCTGACAAATTTAATTTCTTTAATGGTCATAGGGCTTTTCAGATTTCCTATTTCATCTTGTGTCAGTTTGGTAAGTTGTATTTTTTAGTGTATGTGTTTATTTAAGTTGTTGAACTTATTGACATGAAGTTGTTCATAATATTCTCTTCTTATCCTTAAAATTCAGTGTATATGTTTATTTAAGTTATTGAATTTATCGACATGAAGTTGTTCATAATATTCTCTTTTTATCCTTATAATGACTATGGCAGATATGATGATACATACTCTTTTACATTCCTGATATTGCTTGGGTTTTCATTTTTCTTGATCACTCTTGCTAGAGGTTCATCAGTTTTCTTAATATTTCAAACATCCTTTATTGGCTTCCTATATTATTGGTTTTAGATTTCTTTCTTTATACTTTCTTTGGATTTATGTTTCTCTTCTTTCTCTAGCCTCTTAAAGTTGAAACTTAGATCATTGATTTTAAGCCTTTCTTTCTTTCTAACATAAACCTTTAAAACTGAGAGGCACTGGTTTAGTGTTGTCCCCCAAATTTGATTGCTTGTCTTTTTGTTATTGTTTAGTTTGAAACATTTTCTAAATTCCAATGTGATTTTTTTTCTTGACTTGTGGGTTATTTAGGAATGTGTTGTTTAATTTACAAAGATTTAAAGCTTTTCTAGACTTCTTATTGCGACTGATTTCTAATTTAATTAACCTTTATTATTAGAGAATATGTTCCATGATATTTCAGTCTTTTGGCATTTATTGATACATGTTTTATTCATCATCAAATATTTTATTGTGTTGAGTGTTATATATGCATTTGCATATATAGTCATGCAAGTTATATAATTATGTAATTATAACAAATCATAGAAGTTATAAATACTTACTTTTTTATTTGTTCAAGGCTTGAAGCTGCAAAAGATGATTACCGTGTTCACTGTGAAGAACTTGAAAAGCAGCTAATCGAATTCCAGCATAGGAATGATGAACTAACTAGTCTTGCGGAAGAAACAAGAGCCCTGAAAGATGAAATAGATGTTCTTAGGTATGACATGTCTTAAAAAGTATAATTATGCCATTTCTGAGCCATTTAGTCAATTCAAGTATTTCATATTTTAATCAGGGATTCATAGGATTATTCCTGTATGTCAAGTATTGATCAGTTTTTAATCCAGGCTGATAGTTTTAACCTCTTTTATGTTTGTTGTTTGGGCTTGCAGTTCATGGATAATACTCAATTCTTCTGAAGACATTTTCACATTAGAACCCATAAATCCAAAATGAGACCTTTAATTAAAATTTTGTAAACGGAGTACTTATAGATATGTTTAACTTGACTTGCTTGTACCTATCATATTTTGTGAAATTTTTGTGTAAGGAAATGTATTCTCAATCCATATTTTGACATTTAATAAACTATAGATCAAATATAGGCAAGAATCCTAACTTTCTTTTAGAGAGGATTGTCATTTGGCAATATAAAGTTTATATTTACTTTTTTCTTATGAAATGTTACTCAGTGAACAGTCTGTCCACGTGATCTTTATTTTTTTTGTTAATTTTTCTTAATTATTTTTTGTAGTTCCTAATACTCATTTGAAACAAAATTTGTATAACCATTAATTTGGACCTGCTTGTGATAGTGAAGTGATTTGGTTTATTTGTTTGTTTATTTATATATTTAAGTCAGGTAAGCACAGCTCCAAAGGGAAGTGCTTTGCCTGACAAGTTTATAAATTTAGTCAGCTTCCTAAATACAGTAAGTCAAATACTTAGAAGGAAACTATGCTGAATGTTATACACAAAGGAAGGTTGGCCGGTAAGCTGCAGAGCAGCTGAATTGTTTAATTTTATGTACAAAATTATTATTTTTATTCATTATGCTAATATATGAAATAGTTTGATAATTTAGTGTGTCAGGTGTGAAGCATTTTTATTTTGATGGCTTTATACCAAAGAGGTTGAACTTTAAATGGATTTAGGCTGGAGTCTGTTTCCAAAGTTCTCACAATGTTTACAGTTTCCTCTTCTCACTCACTCTCATTTACTTTTCTTTTTTCTTTTTTGTGATAGTTTGGAAGATTCATTTTACAGCCAGAGTAAAATTATGAGTATATACTAGTTTATATACAGTAATGCTTAGTCTTTATTGTTATAGGGCTACCTCTGATAAAGCAAATAAACTGGAGTCAACAGTTGAGATATATCGTCAGAAGCTACAAGATCTGAATGACCTTCGCAAACAGGTGAAAACTTTACAGGAAACCAACATGATGTATATGCATAATACAGTCAGTTTAGAAGAAGAATTAAAAAAAGCAAATGCAGCACGTACACAATTAGAAACATACAAAAGGCAGGTAAGAAACATCTTAATTTTTAATTGATAGAATTGTAAGAGTTTGTTATTCCTTTTGATTTCTTAAGAATGGTAAAGAAATTGAGAAGCATTCCATGTAATAAACTATGAACTTACTCTGATGAATTTCTTTCTTTAATTTTAATTCAAGGATTGATAATTGAGTTTGAGTTATCTGGGTCTTTTACCTTTTTACTACCTTCTGAAATTATTTTTTCTTTTGAGATTTTATTGTTTATTAGCATTTCTGGTAAGCAGGATTAATGCATTAGAGAATGGAGCTGTAACCTGAAATATTCTGTTTTGCTGTTTACTAAATAACATTAGGAGGCTGACTTTTAATTTTTTTGGCTAAACTATTTGATTATTTTTAATTTTATGTTAATTCTTGTCTATGTGTTATTTTCCACAAGTATTTAGAATTAGACTGCAATTTTAGTATAGATATTTTATTCCTAATCAGTTTTTCATTTACTTAATTCTGAAAGACTGTTGAGATTTATGCACTTACATACTTTTAAGGACTTTTTTTCCTTTTGTTTCTGACATTAGGTTCAAGATCTTCACGTTAAACTTTCCTCTGAATCCAAAAGGGCAGACACACTAGCGTTTGAAATGAAACGGCTTGAAGAAAAACACGAAGCTTTACTTAAGGAGAAAGAGGTAAACAAAGATATAATTGATAAGGAATATTTCATTGTTCTTTTAGTTTTGTAATGCCCTTGCTGTTTCTATAATGGTGGTGATGTCTACCAGTTCTGTCTTCCTCCAAATTGAATTTTTTGACATAGAAGTGTCTTGTAAAAATGACTTACATCTTCATTCAGTTTTTAAAGTTTTCTTCACAATGGTAGATGAAATGATAGAGCCAAGGTCATAAGTCTCAATGAATATTTTCTGATTCTAGTCTGTCAGTTGCTTGGGATCAAGGACCATATAATTTTGTGTTGGCTTTATTAAGATTTAATTGACATATCATAAATGTCACCTAAGGTATACAAGTCAGTGGTTTTTAGTATATTCACAGAGTTGTATTACCATCATCATAATCATACTTTAGAACACTGCCATCACTCTAAAAAGAAACCTCATGTCGGTCACCATTTACCCTGCACTCTAATCCTCTCATCCCTACTCTTAGCAACTGTTAATCTACTTGCTGTCTACAGATTTTCCTAGTCCTTCTAGAATATGTAATCATACACTTGGTGATTTTTGTGACTGACTCTTGCAAGGTTCATCTGTGTTGTAGCATGTATCAGTGCTTTATCCTTTTTATTGCCGAATAATGCCCCATTGTATGGATATACGGCATTTTGTTTATCCGTTCACGCGTTTATGAACATTTGGGTTGTTTTTGATTTTTGGCTGTTATGAATAATGCTGCTATGAATGTTTATGTGCAAATTTTTATTTAGATATATTTTCATTTTTCTTGAGTGTATAGGCAGAAATGGTATTGATGGGTCATACGGTAACCATGCTTAACTTCACATCTTTATCAACACTTATTATCTTTTTGATTTTAGCTATCCTAGTGGATATAAAATGGCATGTCGTTGTGTTTTTGATTTGCATTTCTCTACTGACTAATGTCGTTGAGCATCTTTTTTGTACTTATTAGCCATTTGTATATTTTCTTGGAAAAATGCCTCTTCAAATCCTTTCCCCATGTTTTACTTAGGTTATATGCTTTTTAATTATTGAGTTGGAATAGTTTTTTATATATTCTAGATACAAGTTCCTTGTCAGGTATATGATTCGCAATTTTTTTTCTATTCTATGTGTTGTCATCCCACTTTCTTGATGATATAGTTTGCAGCACCAAGTATTACATTTTGATGAGATATGAGTTACTTGTTTTTCCTTTTGTTGCTTGTCCTTTTTGGGTGATGTTTGTAAAAAAAAAAAGCATTGTGTAACCTAAGGTACAAGAATTTATCCTGTGTTTTTCATTTAAACAGTTTTATGGTTTTAGCCCTTATATTTAGTCTGTGATCCATTTTGTATATGGTGTGAGGTAGGCATCTGGCTTTATTCTTTTGTGTGTTGATATCCAGTTGTCCCAGTACCACCAGTTGATAAAACTATTCTTACTACATCGAATTGCTTTGGTATTCTTGTTAAAAATCACTTGGCCATCATACTTTAATAGTGTATACATGTCATTATACATTAATGAAAATTCATAGGGTGTATAACAAAAAGAGTAACCCACAGTATAAATGATGGACTTTAGTTAATAACAGTGTATCAACATTGGCTTATCAATTCTAACATATTACCACACAAATGCAAGATAGTAATAATAGGGGAGACCAGAGTGAGAAGAGGGTAAGAGGAATATAAAGGAACTCTGTATTTAATTTTTCCAAAAACCTAAAACTGCTTAGAAAATAACTTCTATTAATTAAAAAGGTTTAAAAGATCATGTGATCATAAATGTAAGGGTTTATTTGTGGTCTTTTAATGGTTTATTATTGGTCTTTATGTCTAATCTTATGCTACTACCACACTCATATATTGATCATTGATTACTGTAGTTTTGTAGTTATGTTTTGAAATTGGAAAGGGTGAGTTTTCAAACTTTATTCTTCTTCAGGCTGTTTTTGTTATTCTGACTCCCAAGCATTTTCATGTGAATCTTAAAATCAGCTTGTCAACTCTGGCAAAAAAAAAAAAAAAGGGCAGCTGAGATTTTTATAAGAACTTCTTGATCTGTAGATTAATTTAGAAATGTTGCCACTTAACAGTATTAATTTTCTGATCCGTGAATGTGGGATATCATTTCATTTATTTAGATCTTAAGTGTCCTTCAACAATGTTTTATAGTTTTCAATGTGCAAGACTGGCACCTTTTAAACATGTATTCCTAGGTGTTTCATTGTTTTTGTTGTTATTTTAAATAAAATATTTTATCAAGATCATTTTTGGATTTGTTTACTGCTAATATATAGAAATTTAATGGAGTTTTGTGCATTGATCATGAATCTTCCAGACTTGTTGAATTTGTTTACTGGTTATAGTTTTTAGGTAAGTTTCTCAGGATTTTCTATATATAAGATTAGGACATCTGCAAATAGAATTGGTTTTACTTCTTCATTTGCAATCCTGATACTTTTTATTTTTCTTGCTAAATTGTACTGGCTAGAATTGTCAGTACGATGTTAAATAAAAGTGGAAAGAACAGATATCATTCTTTAGGTTCTGATCTTAGGGGAAGAGCATTGGATTTTTCACCATTATGTATGATATTAGCTGTGAGTTATTTCTTTTCATTTTTGTTTTTGGATGCCCTCTGTAAGGTTGAAGAAGTTTCCTTCTATTTGTAGTTTGTTGCATTCTGTTATAAAAGAGTATTGGATTGTGTCAGATGCTTTTTCTGGATCAATGAGATGATATATAGTATTTGTACTTTATTATATAAATATGATGTGTATTACATTGATTTTTTTTAAACCGATCTTGCATTACTGAGATAAATTCAACTTGTTCATAATATATACTTTAAAAAGTATGTTGCCAGATTCAGTTTGCAAATATTTCATCGAAGATTTTTCCATAGGTATTATAAGGGATATTGGTTTGTAATGTACTTGTGAGGCCATCACCTGGTTTTGGTATCACTGGCCACATAGAGTGGGTTGAGACATTTTCCCACGTTTTTATGTTTTGGGAAAGTTCATGAAAATTGGTATTAATTCTTCTTTAAATCTTTTGTGGAGTTCAGTTTTCTGGACCTGAGCTTTATTTGTAGGAAGTTAACAAATTACTGATTCAATCTTTTTAGTTGCTGTAGGTCTATTCAGCTATTCTGTGACTTCTTGAGCTAGTGTTACTAATTTGTGTCTGTCTAGAGATTTGTCAATTTAATTTATCTAGTTTATTGGCATACAGTTGTCTATTGTTGTTTCTTCTTCATTTCTGTGAGAAACCAGGGAATTTTGCTAAGTAGTGATATCCTCTCCTTTATTTGTGATTTCTGTAATTTGAATTTCTCTGTTTTTTTTTTTCTTGATTTGTTTCGCTAAAGATTTTTCAATTTTGTTCATCTTTTCAAAGAACTAACTTGTGGTTTTACGATTTGTTTTCTATTCTCTATTTTATTTATTTTTACTCTAATCTTTAATAATTTATTGGCAAAGGAACAGAAATTCGTTTGTATGTAAGTATTTTTTTTCTAGTTAAGATAGAAAGTTAAGTTACTGATTTGGAATTTTTCTTGATTTTTTTTTTAATATAGATACAGCTGTAAATTTGCCTCAGGATTTATTTTGCTACATTACGTGTTTTGGCATATTGCATTTTTGTTTAATTCTTTTGAATTTATTTTCCCTTATGATTTCTTCTTTGACACATTGGTTACTTATGAGTATCTTGCTCAATTTTCACATATATTTGTGAATATCCTAAATCTCCTTGTGTCATTGGTTTATTTAATTCCATTGTGGTCAGAGAACATACTTTGTGTGCATTCAGTCCTTTTAAATTTATTGAGCCCTGTTTTATGGCCTACCATATGGTCTCTTCTGCAGAGTGTTCCATGTGGATTTTTTAAAAAATGTGTATTCTACTGTTGGGTAAAGTATTTATACGTCAGTTAGGTCTAGTTGGTTTATAGTATTGTTCAAGTATTCTACCTTGAATCTTTTTGTATAGTTCTATCTATTATTGAAATTAGGATACAGATATTTCCAGTTGTTGTTACATCATCTCTTTTTCCCTTTAATTTCGTCAATTTTTACCTTGTGTATTTTAGGTCTGTTAGATTCATTTATGTTTGTAATTGTTATATCTTCCTGATAGATTGATTTTTCTAATGTCTCTCTTTTTTCTGGTTACCGTATTTGTCTTAAAGTCTGTTTTGTTTAATATTAATATAGTCCTG